GGGCTCCTCTGGCCCCACTCCAGCAGGTCCCTGGCTCTGCTGTGCTGAGGACTCCAGAGCTGCCCCAGCACTGCAGGGGGGTCTCCCAGAGCTGGCAGAGGGGCAGGATCCCCTCCCTGCCCTGCTGCCCACCCTGCTGGGGGCTTCTGGGCTGTGAGTGCACAGTGCCAGCTCATAGAATCATTAGGGTTGGAAGAGACCTCTAAGAACATCAAGTCCAACCATCAGCCCAACACTACCGTGACCACTAAACCATGTCCTGAAGTGCCATGTCTGCTTTTTTTTTAACATCTCCACGTCCATCTTTTCACCCACCAGCAGCCCAAGTCCTCTGTAGGGCAGCTCTCTGCCCCTTCATCCCCCGGCCTGTGCTGATACCAGGGATTGTCCTGATGTGGGTGCAGGACCTTCCATTTCATCTTGTTCAGGTCCCTGTGGATGACAACCTGTCTCTCAGGCATGTCAGCTGCATTACTCAACTTGGTGTCATCTACAGACATGCTGAGGGTGCCCTTGATGCCACTGTGCCCTTGATGAAGATACTGAACAGCACTGGTCCCAGCCAGGGGACAGTGGGCCCTGAGTGCAGATACAGAAGTGCAGTTGTGGCTGGAGAGTCCTTGTAGTAGTGAAGATCCAGGCTCCAAGTGGATATTCTTGGCAAACTTGAAAATCCACAACTGAAAAGAAAATTTGCTCTTAAAAACCACCTTGAGTTTTTCATTTGAAGACACCTGTTTGAAAACATGGCAGATTAAGTAATGAATTTACTGATTTGAGAGACTCTTAACTTGTATTTCTAAAGAGGAAGTGATCTGTAGGTTACTTTTTACAGGAGGGGGAAAAGGGAGATGACAGCCTCCAGACCAGTAACACATTGCAGGTGAATCAATAAAGGCAGCTAAGAAAGACCCAAACAGGAAAAGTAAAGATTTAGCTTAACTTGATCTTGTTATAATGAGAGCACTTTGAAATTCCACATATATTATTGTGCTATCTTTATTAAATATTAAAAAACTAGTCAAACTCAAAGCCTATATGTTATCTAGGGCAAAGGCATGGGTTTTTTTTATAGGATGTGTTATGATGGAGAGTCGTGGCTGTAACCACAGTAAGTGAAGTTCAACACTGAAAATAATTGGTGTTTTTTTTTCCCCCTCCAGATTTGGGTTCTGATCAACGGACAAGGAGATGGAGAGTCGTGGCTGTAACCACAGTAAGTGAAGTTCAACACTGAAAATAATTGGTGTTTTTTTTTTTTCCCCTCTAGATTTGGGTTCTGATCAATGAACAAGGAGAAGAACCTGTCAGAAATGGCTGAGTTAACCAAGACAGAAGAGCAGGAAGTAGAGAAGAGTTTGGATGAAGAAGTGGAGAAGACACCTTGTACTTCAGAGGCAGGTTCGGGTGCTGGCTTGGAAGGAGATGGTTCAACTTCAGCTCCAGTGCACTCCACTGAAAGTGAAAAAGAGGCTGACAGTGGTGATCAGGGTGGCAGAGCAAAAAGGAAGAATTTAGAAGCTGAAGATGGCCCTCCTAAGAAAGCTGTGAGTATTGTGTATCTTCAAATCCTTGTTTCAAAGCTTTAACTCAAGAAAAGATTGAAAATATTGATGATAAACATATGAGAGGCAGCATTTAACACCAAATGTCAAAGTTTAACACCAAAAGTCAAAGTTTCTGGGTAGCTTCCGAGCAAAATAACAGGTGGAGAAGTGGTGTTGGGTTTAACAGAATAGGAAGAGGGCTAGTTATTAGATTGTTGGGAAAACTAATCTCAGCATGTGCTCAGTCTAATTCTGAGCCAGTTGTTCCATTGTCTAAGTGGCAGCACTTTGGTTTGCTGGCATCAGTCCAGGTCCCATGTCTTCAGTTCACAGGTTTTGTATGTTGTTATCCTGTGTCTTTGCTAGAGTTATCTGTGCATGGGAGGTTCTTCCATAAGATAATTCAATTTCCTCAATAAAGCATGGCATAATTTAGCAAATTCTACAAACTGCATCCTCTGTGATATCATTTCAGTATGAACAGATGCTTGTTTTTTGTGGTTGTTTTTTTTTTCTTAACACTGTGAGAGCAGTAGAAAATATTTGTCCCTTTAACTGGGATGGTGAAAAGGGTCATGTTTTATATGTTGTTGCTCTTAATTATGTGTTAGCTTGTAGAAATTTGTCTTGGCAGTGCTGGGTTTCTGGTTGGACTCGATGCTCTTAAAAGTCTCTTCCAACCAAAACAATTCTGTGATTCTAAACTGAGGCTGTAATATCTGTTGTGATCTAAGTTATCTAATAAATCATATCTAATCGTGACCTTTTGGGATATTGAAGTATAATTTGAAAATCTGGTTCTCTGTTCAGAATTTTTCCAGGATGTTAATTTGTGGCTGAGCAGTCTGGTAAAAGAGAGAGTGCCCTTTGTTGTGGTTGGAATGTTATTAACTTTTTAATAAGGTAATTGTGGGATAAAGAGCTACATTCATTTAGTGTGGCTTGAGGGTGTGGAGAGGTGAGTACACTGAACACCACTGCCAGTGTCCAGAGGATGTTTCTGGTGGCTCTTTGCAGCTGTGCTTGCAGCAGCTGTGCTTGTGGCTTGTGTGAAGATGTCCCCCACACTTGTCCACATCAGCTGTTGTAGTTGGCAGTGGCCATTCTGGGAGCCATCTGTCCTTTCCCTAAAAAAAGACTAGAAATGGTCAAAATGTTTGTTAGTATCGTCAGCCAGGTTGGGTAATAAGCAGATGATGGGTTCTTAGGGAATCCAGACAGGTATGTCTGTTCATTCTGGAGGTTACCAAAATGATATGAAGAGTTCATGAAGTACATTCAAGTCAGTCAAACCCTCTTCTCCCTGGAGGAGCTGCTGTTTGAACAGCAACATGTCAGGATGTTGACTTTTGTGCTCAGTTATTGGGAATGCTTTTCATGGTTCTGCAGGTTCATCCTGGCTGGGGCTTTGTAGCATGATTGTGGTTTTTTTTTTTACTAAGAATCCTGCATTCTAGTTTGTACTCTTACTTCAAACACTTTTGAGCCTCACAGAATTTGTGTTGGTTCTCCATGTTCTGTTATTTTGTGTTTTATTTATAATTCATTGGGCTATTTACAGTTAGGACCAAACCAGAGAAAATTCTCCAGCTGACTGTTATGACTTGACAATGTCTCCCATTTAATGCAGTACTCTTATTCCCTCACCATGATCTATTTAAAGCTCTGTCAGTGGGATCATCCACTTAGGGCTTTATGAGACACCAGCTAGTTGGCTAAATTGGATAAATTTTGGAAAATTTGGCAGTTTATTTACTTGTGTTAGATGTAAACGTTGAGTTTCTGAAACAGGATTTTTGAACAAGCTTAAAGGTCCTTGAGAAAGAACATTTCTTCAAGCCCAGGCTTAAGGGGAATGAAACTGATCCTTGGAGAGTGGTGAGAGGGATAGAGAACTGGAAGTTGTTTCTGTGAAGAAAAGATGCTGGGCATCCTCCATCAAAAATTACTTGGACATACTGAAAAAGGGCTTAAATTTTTAAGGGGTTTGTCTCTGTGATAACTCAAGACAGGAAGTGGTTTTATGTATACATAACGATGGTGTTTTTTGTAATACTACTTTGTTTACTTCCTTAAATCCTTCAAGTGAACACGTGTCTTTTGGTAAATGGAAAAGTGAAAAGAATTCACTGCTTGGGTCTCTTCTTTCCCTCATTTCTACAGCAGGAGACGGGTCACGGGCAAGCAGTAGCTGCACATTATAATGAGCTGCAAGAGGTGGGGCTGGAGAAGCGCAGCCAGTCCCGCATATTCTACCTCCGAAACTTCAATAACTGGACAAAGAGTGTCCTCATTGGTAAGCTTCCTCAGCTGGCTGCTTAGACTGTGGTGAAATGGAGCTGATTTTTGTATCAAAACCTAACTGTTTTTTTTCGCTTTCTGATGGTGGTTGTGGCACTTTGTCTCTTAATAGGTAGTAATGTTTTCAAGTGCAATAAAATGACTATATTTACTTTTACTTTGAAACTTTGTGATAGTATTTTATATTGCTGGAGTGCCAAATGTGTGCTAAGGTTTGAAAGATCAACTGACCTGAAAACTGGAAAAAGTTCATACTGGAAACTCTTCTTTTTCACAAGATTTTTAAAGAGAAAGGTACAGCTTTAAATCATAAAGAATCCACTTGTTCTTGTTAGATTTTGCATAAAATGCCAACATCGGTCTGAGCAGAAATATTTGAGACAGAGTGGAGATAGAGGAGGTAAGAAGACAGCAAGCAAGCAACTGGTGTCACAGCAAGGGCTAGGAGAGTGAGTGGAAAACTTGTGTGTTTCTGTAACGTGGCCACAAGGAAATGTTGTGGCTGATGCATTTAACTGGCTTCTACTCCTCTGTCAGACAACATTTTCCTTCCTCATAGTGGGAACAGTAAAGTTCTGAGATGCTTTAAAATTCTCAAACTCTGCTGGTCCTTCAGGCTTCTCTGGACAGTCCAAGTGGATGCAGAGGCCTGTGCATGGATTCTCTCTTTTTACTTTTCTAGGTGAATTTATAGACCGGGTACGACGGAAAAAGAACGATATAACTGTTCTGGATCTGGGCTGTGGCAAAGGTGGAGACCTACTGAAATGGAAAAAAGGCAGAATCAAAAAACTTGTCTGTACTGGTAAGAAGACACAATAACTTTCCAGAAAAAGTACATCAGTGTTTTAGGGGAAAACCAAGCACATCTCCAGTCCTTTATTGTTTCCTTTTTTTTTTTTAGTAAGCATAAAAATGTGATAATACAGGTTCTGTCAACATATCTCTTGTCTTTTAACCTGAAGACATCAACTTGATTGCCAGCATAAATATAAGAACCATTGATTTTCTGTGTAGTTATCTTTCAGTTCAACTCGTAAATAAAAAACTAATATCACTAAAGAAACACACAAGTGCCTCAGATTGTCTTAGGGAAAATATAGCACCAGAAAAAAGCATTGTATGTTTTGTGTTTGATGTTTTTTCTCCCACATCTTATCTCCTGTAGTATTTTTAACTGTTCTGAAAACACACAAGAGAAGAGTTACATTTAAAAACCTAATAAACCCCACAGTGTTGTGACAAAAAATGGTCTTGGGTTTTGCAACCAACTGAAGATTTTTCAGACTCAGAAAGTGGAAGAGTTGAAAGCTGATTTAAAAATCTTTCATTTAAATAGTTTGCCTAGATGTTGGGAGGGAGATAACATCTTCCCTTTTCCCCAAAAACATCCCAAGGATAGTGAAAGGAAGTATTACTTTACTTCAAATTTGAATTGGATACTAAAAATTCATAAAATTACACTAATGGAAATTATTCTGGGTATTCTACACTTACAGTTCTTTCTTGCATTTTCAGTTGGCAGTTCAGTTACAGTTCATTATTTACAAAGTTCTTGTATAAATTTATTGCATTTGGTTAGTTTCAAAATTTGTGCAAGCTGTCATTACTCAGTGAAACTCGATGCCTGAGAGAGGAACTGTCTGAAAAAGAAAATTTAAAAAAATTTCCCATGATGCAAATTATCAGCATATATCAGAAATAATTGCATTTGAACCTCTTGTGTATGTGTAGGGAGGTGAGGAGCTTTCAGTAGTGTTTGAGAATCACCAGCAGCTGAACTGTTTTAGTTAATGAGTATCAGACACCTAATGCCAACAACACTTTGTGACAATCCCCTAGTACCCATCACTTGCAAGTTTTGGAAGTTTGCATTCTTAGGGATGAAAGCTTTTGGAAATCTTCAGCTTCCAACTTCCCTTTTGAAGTAAAGACTGAAAATAACAAAGAGTTATAATCCCAAACACTTCCTACAAATTAAATTCCTTCTCTACAAATTGGGCAGAAACGGTTTAACTGAATGGCAGCTTTTATCCCTGCCATGAGGGGTCTGCTGCATGCCAGTGATTGTGCCAGTAATCCTTGCAGTTTTCTGGTCTGGGGAGCAGTTTGCAGACTGTTTCACATTCTCTCTCCACATGCAGATATTGCTGACATCTCAGTGCAGCAGTGCAAGCAGAGGTATGAAGACATGAAAGCTCGATGTCGTTACAACGAGCATATTTTTGATGCAGAATTTATACAAGCAGATAGTACCAAGGTATGCCTCTAGGCTTTGTAATATTTTGGAGATGTAATGTTCTGTTAAGCAAGTATGGGTAGTGCTGGTAGTGCTGAAATGCTTTGGGTGTATGTATTTTTAAGATCAGATTGTTGTACTGTCGGGAGAATCAGCCGTGTGGGTTGCTGAGAAGGTGTGTGAGTTGTAGTTAGAAGGGTTTTGTTACTGTTTCACAATCTTTAACCTGAATGTCTTTTTTGGATAATAAATCTGATGCTTTATAAGGGGAAGGGAAAGACTCCTTACCTCTGGAGTTCTGGGAGCCAGCATAGGAGGTTGGAAAGGGTCTAGAGAACAAGCTGCCTGAGAAGTGGCTGAGGGAACTGGAGTTGTTCAGTCTGGAGACAAGGAGGCTCAGGGGAGACCTTGCTCTCTACAGCTCCCTGAGAGGTGGTTGGGGTGAGGTGGAGGTCAGTCTCTTCTCCCTTGTAAGAATCAATAGGACAAGGGGAAACAGCCTCAAGTTTCCCCAGGGGAGCTTTTGGTTGGACATTAGGAAAAATTTCTTCCCCAAAAGGGTTGTCAAGCACAATTCTTGTTTGCCTCTCCTTCTGAGGAATACAGTCTGTTGCAGTCCCAGATCATCTCTTTCAGCTCAAAATTACTGTCAGGGGAGAGAGGAGAGAACCTTGGCCAGGAAGAAAAGGAGTATTTTCATGTTGCTGTTACAGCTCAGTCATGTGTTTTCTGTTGCACACTCTGTGCTGTCTGTCCATGCCCAAAATGTGGAGGGGGTTAAACAAGCAGACAAACCCTGATGGGTTTCCAGGGATCCCAGTTCTTCCCAGGTACTGCTCAGTCTGGGGTGGGGAGGAATATGTGTGAGAATACAGACAGGTACAACCCCTCCTGTCAGTTATGTGTTTAACAGGTCGGTTGTCATTGCAGAGACTCAATAAACTGAAATTAACCTTTTTCAGCTTTTATTGTTGAATGTGTGAAGGGATGAGAGCAGAAAGGAGAAACCTCAAAGCGTTGCGGGAGCGGCACGTTTGTCGGAAGGTTTAAGTGAGTCCTACTTGTTTCTGTAGCTTCTGTTCCATTTGTTTTTCTTTTTGATCTATTCCAGGATCTCTTGTCTTCCAAATACAACGATCCAGATATGCTCTTTGACATCTGCAGCTGTCAGTTTGTTTACCATTACTCCTTTGAGACCTACGAGCAGGCTGACATGATGCTTAAGAACGCCTGTGGGAACCTCTCTCCTGGAGGGTATTTCATTGGCACAACTCCAAACAGCTTTGAACTTGTGTAAGTATTTTATACTGTACGAGCCTGTCGAAAGTCTGCAGAGAGCTGTTAAGTGATCATTGTTCTCACAGAGCTCTGGTTTAGTGTTTGGAAACAAAAGCAAGTTTTTTTGTAACGATTTTGGATTCTAGTCGGGAAGATTTCACTCATGAACTTGATTCAAACTGGTGAATCTGTGCTAACCCTTGTCTCTTGCATCCATAGTTCTTCTGGTCTGGTGTATAGATCTTCACACATGAACCCTCTGTAGTCATTTAGCAGTGGCAAAACAGCCACAGCCTGGGGAGTAACTGTCAGGGCTTTGCTGTGGCTGTTCCAAGAAGCCTGGCTTGTCCATGTACATGTGTCTGGGCTAAAGGTTCATTTTCTAGATTCTTTTAGTCCTTGGTATGTTGTACAGGAATGATAAAATTTCAGGCCTCTTATGCACAGTTGCTTTCTCTGCCTGTCAGATTAAAACCTGCTCAATTAATGTCTGTTTGTATCTCACTTTGTAGGAAACGACTTGAAGCTTCAGAAACAAATTCATTTGGGAATGAGGTGTACAGTGTAAAATTTGAAAAGAAGGGAGAATATCCCTTGTTTGGCTGCAAGTATGATTTCCACTTGGAAGAAGTGGTTGATGTCCCTGAGTTCTTGGTTTACTTTCCATTACTGGAAGAGTAAGTTAAGTTTTGAATTCATTGTGCAGTGAGAGCTTTGAAACATAATAAGCATTTGTTTAGTTTGTGTGTCATTGCAGAATACTTAAAAAAAAAATGTTTTTTGGCTTTCTTACTGTATTTTTCAGTTTTTCATTTTTGTTGTTGCACCAAGTGCAGAGGTTTCTTGCATTTCCATCCATAACTGATCTGTCCATTGCATTCAGTTGAAGGTGCTCTGGTCAGAAGCTGTGGAGACTTAAATTAGTTCTCACAGGAGAATCTGATAAATTGGATCTCTCAGCAAACCTTTAGTGCTGTCAACTTTTTCCTCTTCAGTCTTTTGCAGGGATTTCATTCTACCTTTCTTTAGTCCTTCAGCAAGCCTTCTTGTATATCTTCATCACAGTTCCTCTTTCCTGTCTTCTCCAACTTTATTGGGATGTTTGTAGGATTTATCCTATACCTTTTTTTTTCCTTCTTGTGACTTATTTTTTCTTCCTACAATTTATTTTTTCTTCCTCTAAATCTTCACCTGTGAGCATACATCTTGCTATCACCTCCATGGATTCAGATTTACCTTTCCCATCCTGTCTCTGGAGGTTCAGACAAATGTTTCCATGTTGGGATTTTTCCTGCCAGTGAAGCTCAATGTGGTTGTTAAACAATATTAATTCCCTTTAAACCTGTATATTTTGGCACAATTCACTGGTAGTACTCTGTGAAAAATACCAGCCTCTGTCAGTGAGACCTGTAAATTCAGCCTTGCAGGACCACAGTGTCTACTAATAATTGACATGTAAGGCACTAAATCTAGTAGAAAGAAGTTCTCTAGATATATCCATAATATCTGATGTGACACAGTGATGACACTGCAGGGAATACAGTGTAGTCTGTCTGGAAGGGCAAATGGAACTTCATTTTGTGTGTTGGGAGAAGAGATTTTTCTTCTTGAAAAGTCTGTTAATTACTTCTGTGTAGATTTTTTTTTTGTCCTAATTAAAAAAAAAAAAAAAGTACAGTTTCTGGTGCTAGTGAAGTTTTTTTCATCTAAATGTCTTTACTAAAAAAACATTCTATAAAGAGTGTAACCCTGGTGAGTACCATAAGGTGTCACTGTGGCTTAAAAGTGTTCCTTTGACAAGAAAACTACAATAATTTTGTAGCTTCCCTAATTAAGCTTATTACTTTGACAGAATGGCAAAGAAGCATGGTATGAAATTAGTCTTCAAAATGACATTTCGGGAATTCTACGAAGAAAAAATCAAGAACTATGAGCATAAAATGCTGTTGAGGAGAATGCAGGCCTTGGAGGTAAATATGGAGTTAGCTTGTTTCATTCAAATAGCATTTTACATCTTGTTAATTATTTGTGCAAGAACTGAAATGCCTGTCGTGAGCATTGTGCAACTGATTAAGGGCTATCAGTGGAAAACTGAACTCCTGTGGTTGAAATGCAGCTGTGGTGGGTTGACCTTGACTGGCTGCCAGACACCCACCAAACTGCTCCCTTGTTCCCTCTTCCCAACAGGATGAGGGGAGAAGATAAGAAAATACCTTGTGTATCAAGATAAAGACAGGGAGATGATTGCTTAGCAGTTAATGTCAAAGGCAAAACAGACTAAACTTGGAGAAGGTTAATTTAATTTATTACCAATTTAGAAAAAAAAAGGAGAGGCAAAGACAAACCTAAAAACACCTTCACCCCACCCACTCCTGGTTTCCAGGCTCAACTTCACTTCTTCACTCCTGACCCTTGTACATCCTCTCCCCACAGTGCAGGAGGGTGGGGAATGCAGGTTGTCATCAGTCCCCAACACTGTCTCTGCCTCTCCTATTCACACCTCTCCCCTGCTCCAGCCTGGGCTTCTCCAGTGGGATATTGTCCTTCACAAACTGCTCCAGTGTGCCTTCTCTCCATGGGGTCCCTCAGGAACAGACTGCTCCAGCATGGGTTGGTTCAGCTCCTGCCAGAAAGCTAGTTCCTTGTTGGGCTCCTCTTCACAGGCCACAGCTCCTGCCAGGAGCTTGCTTCTGTGTGGGCTCTCCACAGGCAGCAGCTTCCTTCAGGACATGCCCACCAGCACTAGCATGTGCATCAGCACCCAGCAGAGTGATTCAGTTTTGTAGATAAAATTCATTGCAGATAAAATTCCATTTCTTCCTGAGCAGAGAGAGCCTGAAAGCTGGATCTTTGTCTGAGGAATATCAATGGAAAAGACAGAAAGTAATCTTTGCAGGAATGAAATGACAGGCTGTTTGTAGAAGAAAATGGTATTTAACTGTAGCTGAGCTTATGGCTTTGCCCAATGTTTTTGCTTTTTTTTTTATTCCCAAGCTCCTATCCTGAATGACTTCAGCACCTTCAGTGAAGCTTTTCAGTGCCATCTCTGAGGTTTTGATTCTACTCACAGTTTCCTGTGCTTTTCTCCTCCCTCAAACAGTAAAACTTTTCTGTGTCAAACTATCAAGTCAAGTATCTGGTTTTGGAGACTTAAGGATAAAAGTTAATTTATAAAGCCTTGGTGTTGGATTTTCTGTGAGGTAGGGAATATCAGACCTGATCTTGTAGGTTCTGTAAAGGAGAGATGGAAATTTAAGGTCCTCTTAATAATTACTAACTTCCATTCTGACTTGGGTTGTAACAAACCTTTTCTTTTTTCTGTGTTTTCCAGCCATATTCTACATTTGGTGATTCCAGGCTTGTTTCTGATAAACCTGATGATTATGACCATGCAAAAGAGTTCATCAAAGATGGCAAAGCAAAGTTACCTTTGGTAAGTTCCTTCTTACTTCACTAGGGCAAATGGTGTCTAAAATTCAGGTCCTGATCTTTTGGATGTGTGGTGCAACCACTTCAACCACAATGAAGTTGGTATCATTGTCCTGTGCATGTGAAACACTGCAGAGCTGCAGGGTTGAGGAGCTCACCCAAGCTGTAACTCATGCTCAGAGAATCAAATTCACTTAATTTGGGTAGCTATTAGCAAATTTCTAGCAATGCAAAAGGCAAATGATATTTTGCTATCTTCCTTGGCAGCTGTTCTGACATAACTCTTGTAACTTTGAGGAATTTTCATACATTTTTGGATCTTCACACTGCCAATTTAAGGCTTTAGTTTTCTTCCTTTGATCCTGTAACAGGAGAGTTGAAAACTTTCTTCATAATCTTGTAGGTATTTAAAATCTCAAAGGCGGTTTTTCTGTTGCCTTTTTGGATGATGAAGATGCAGCTCCACTTTTTTTTTAACAGAGCTCCTAGAAGCTCCTAGAATTGGACTAGTCCTATGTGCATAAAATGAAATCCATGTATTTCCACCCTTGATTTTATTAAATATGATATTCTGTTCACATTCTGGGATCCAGAGAAACTTCCTTTGTGATGATTATAACCTTACCTTGTACAAAACTTAGTCTGCTCTCCTGTCACACATTTTTCTGCATTTCTGCTGGTTTGGCAGCTTGATTTATGACTTCAGAAATAAAAGAACACTGAACCATCTTTAATGTGGGTCATATCAGATGTTAGATCAGCAAGTTAAATATGTTTTTTTCTGCTTTTAGTCCTGTCTTCTAATACACGTGGTACCTTTATTTTCAGCAAGAGATTTTTTTCTGATAAAGTTTTATCCTTATTCCTCCTCCTGGCAGTACATGATAATGTTGGAGTTGTCTGCAGGTCTTTCAGGCTGAACTTTAGCTCTTTTCAATGTGTTGAGGTTCTCTGATAATAAAGAATCAAAATTAGAGACTAGTTAAAGATTGTAGTTTTAGTAAGATCCTATGCAGTTACCAATAGATGACATCCTATTTCATTGTTATAGGTACAGCACGAGGCTGGTCAACTTGAAACTTTTCTGCTTGTTTTTTTCAGTTTTTAATCATTGGTTTATCTGCCATTTACATTTTGAATTCTTGAAGATTTATTCCTTTTCCTGTATATGTAGAAATTCTACATCAAGAGGGAAAAGAAACTTGCTCTCTGTATCTGAGATCTAAAATTTTAAAAAGAAAAGTGCTTCTTTTAAGAAGTAAGTTTAAGAATGTGAGGGCCATCAAGTGAGACCAAAGATCTTTTGGCAGGTGCTGTGTCACCTGGTAAAGAAGAAATCTGCTGGAACAAGCCTTTAATTCACTGGTGTTCTAGAAGATGAATCAGTTGGTCAGGATTGGTCAGAGGTGGCATATGGGCTAAATCACGTCCCCAGTTTTGGGGGGCTGCAGGAAGGTGTTAGGGGGAGGCAGGCACTGTCTGTGGGGAAGGTGGCATCACCATGACAGGGCTTCTTCTTGACTTCTTCTGCACAAGACCTGGGCATCTGGGGCTGGAGAGCAGCCTGAGGCAGGTCACGTCACAGGGACGTGTGGCAGTGGCACCCAGGACACTGCTCTGCAGAGGTGTCCAGACAACAGACCAGTGGCCCATCCTCCCACACCTCTAGCTCAGGTGTGTTACACCTCCCTACCATCCTCTTTACTGGAATAGTAAGTACCTGTGGTCTGCAGTTCTGCTCTTCTCACCCCTAAATACCCAGCCAGTGGGGGTGGTTAGAACTTGGTCTGTGAAAGCTTGATTACCCACAGTTAAATTGGTGATTTATTGTGTCCTCACTTTTTGTTGAAACTGGTTTTGTTTGGTTTTTTTGTCCCCTTCTAGGGAACCTTGAGTAAATCTGAATGGGAAGCAACAAGTGAGTATTGTTTTTTTTTTGCAATACAACCTTTATAAAAGTTTAAAGGAGAATGAGGGAAAAGCATGAGATTTAAAATTACAAGCACAATTATTTCCTGTTTTCATATTCCTTTAAACTTATTTAATACTTGCTATCCTTATTGTAGCTTTTCAGTACTTAAGAGAGGCATAGAAGAAAGATGGAGACAATCTTTTCAGCAGGGCCTGTTGCAACAGGACAAGGGGTGATGGTTTTAAACTCAAAGAGGGGAGATTTAAAATAGATGGAAGGAAGAAAGTTTTATGCTGAGGGTGGTGAGCCCCTGGCCCAGGTTGCCCAGAGAGGTGGCAGAAGCCCCATCCCTGGAACCATCCCAGGTGAGGTTGGATGTGGCTCTGAGCAACCTGCTCTGGTTGGGGATGTCCCTGCTCAGTGCAGGGGGGTTGGACTGGTTGGCCTTTAAAGATCCCTTCCACCCAAAACCATTCAATGATTCCATGAAATATTGCAAGATCTCATTATTTGTTTTATTCAAATGCCTGGAAGCAATGAAAGCATGGATGGTGAAGAGGTATTTGAATGCTTTATAAAGGGAGGAGGAGAAAGGCAGTGCCTCAAACTCGTAGTAGTTTGTGGCTTCCATTCATGTTTCAGTAGCACTGTTGACTGAAGTTAATGTTGCATTAACTGTATCAGCAGTATTGAAAATATTTTGGTTTTGTGCATTCTTGGCTCTTGTGAAAACATGTCTGAAACATGCTGGAGTTGAATGCCACAGTTGCTGGTTGGGAAACCATACTTTTTTTAGAATTTCAGTAATCTGCTAACAGGGTGTTTGGGCAGAGTATCAACCTGTTCACATTTTGAAAACAGAACCAAGTTGCAGAAGAAGCCAAAACTTTAAATACTCCCCTTTTCTTTTGTAGGTATTTACTTGGTGTTTGCATTTGAGAAGCAACTGTGAAACTTCACATACTGGATGCAGCAAGAAGAGATCATGTCCATGTGCAAGTTGGAATGGTCAGAAAACCATTGTGGCAACTATTTTTTTATTTTTTATTTTTTAGTTCTCAGAAGCGTGCAGGACACTACCAAAAACTAGAGCAAGCTCATGACTCTGAGTTACATTGCCTGTCTGTGACAGATGGACTTGTGTGTGTGTGTATATATAAGAAAGATCCTGAACCAGTCTTTTTAAGCATTTCTAAGCAATCTGCATGCTCTCAAAACTCACGTTGGAACTTGACACCACTTTAGGTTAGAAACCAATGTTTTGCCTGTAGGTTTGTGGTTAGAAGCCTGACCCTGCACTTCCCAAAACTGATGGGAAAATAAATAGCTGTCAACTTTGATGGTGCAGAATGAGGGCCTGAATATTGTACTGCAGAGCTCAGGTAATTCAGCATGAAATACATGCAGGCACAGAGGGTATGTCTACACTGCATGCAGAGCTAGGTGAGAAATGAAACCCTGGGTCAGTGGAGTGCCCCTTGTGCTGTGCTTAAGCCTGCAGTGTAAACCTACCTTACTGGGATAAACCTACCTTAGGGGTGTAGTTTACCTGGTAAAGTCCCATGATGTTCTTCTTTTTTTTGTGCTTGCTCACATGTAGTGTCACTTTGTGGTGCTTTCAAGATTAAACGAGTTTGTTCTGTACAAAACTGCTCTGAAAGAACAGAATTTCTAAAGTTTTAAATCTCTACAGCTTTTTTCCAAATACGACTGTGTGGTAACCAGTAACAGCTGCTGAACTTTGATTACTGAACATTTTCTATTGTATTAAAGACTCTCCTGACTTTTTGTTAGTTTTAATGTCTCCTGAAACTCACTAGACAGATCATAGGATGTGTTTCTTACTTGTTTTCAAAATTCCAAAGGGGCTCGGCAGAAGGACGAGCCCTTGGTGGTGATGGGGACCTCGTTGGAGTCCTTAAGGCATTTGGAATGTGGTCACCTGTTGGATCATGAACCACAAGAGGAACCTGCATAACATCTGAGAAATTCACTCCAGGAGGGAGGGCTCTGTGTGTGTGTGTACACACCCCGCTGCCTCTGGGTAACCATCCCCAAATCAGAGCCAAATATTTTGTTTGGGAATGGGAACTTCTGGTATCAACAGGCAGAGCTGTGTCTAAATATGGCCTTAACTGCCTGTAGGTCTCCTGGAGCTGGCTGAGGGGTTTCTGACATGGTGTTAGCTCTGCTCTCCACGTGTCACCAACTACTGAGAGGGCACAAGTACTTCAGATGTTTTCTCTCCCTCCTTGGGCTGACAGGAGCTGTTGGCTGCTGTGGGTGGGTGTAGTTTAGTTTACATGGAGATGAAATGACAAAATGGTGGTGGTACATGAGTGTTTTGAAAAAGAAACCTAGGAAAGAACATTTCTGTTAGAGTTAGGCATTCAAATCACCTGAGTTTGTAGCTGTGTTGCCTTCCCCCTGTAATGGGGGTCGTATTCTTCCCTCCAGGACTTCTGATTTATTTTTTTTTGGAGTGTGTTTTGTTCATTGTGTAGAACACCTTCACTAGAGCAGTGGGACCACGGTCAGTTCTGCTGCTGAAAGTAAGAAAACAAGACTCTTTCCTGCCTGCTAGAATTAGTGCTTATGAACCTAGCTGAAAAATGCCATCACTTTAGAAGTGCTGAAGTGTTTCACTGAAATTTGTGTGCATCAAAACTAGTTTTGTTAGATTTCTTGTATCAAATTCCATTTGGAAGTACACTGTTATGCTATTTTTGGAAGAAATGGGAATAATAAAAAGAGGGGAAATACAGTGGAGTCTCTTTCCTCTTTTAAGCCAATTTCCACATGTCACAGAGTCATGTAATAGTTGAGGTTGTCTGGTCCAACTCCCCTGCTCAAGTGTGTTCACCCACAGCTGGTTGCCCAGGACCATGTCCAAAGGGCTTTTGGACATCTCCAAGGATGGAGAGTCCACAGCCTCCCTGGACAACCTGTGCCAGTTTGTGGTCATCTTTACAGTGAAAAAATGTTTCCTGATATTCAGGTGGAACTTCCTGCGTTCCAGTTTGTGTCCATTGCCTCTGGTCCTGGCACTGGGCACCACTGACAAGAACCTGGCTCTGGCCTCTGCACTCTCCCTTTGGGTATTTCTACACCTTGATGAGATCTCCCTGAGCCTTCTCCAGGCAGTCTCAGCCTTTCCTCATAGGAGAGATGCTCCTGACCCTTCATCATGTCTGTAGCCCTTTGTTTTTATCCAGCAAGACTGGAACCATGGGATACACTGCTAACTACTGGCCTCCAGCTAGATTTTGTGCCACTGACCACCACTCCCTGGGACCAGCTGCCCAGCCAGGTTGGAATCCACCTCACTGTCCATCCAAGACAGTGTTGAAAGCCAAGGCAGACTATACCCACTGCTCCCCTCAGCTACCAAGCCAGTTAGATATTTCAGCATAGAAGTCTGTCTGGTTGGTCCAAAATTACTTCCCCTCAGTGAATCCATGCTGACTACTACTCATGATTCTCATGTGCCTGGAAATGGTTACCAGGATCGTGGAATCATTTGGGTTGGAAGAGATCTTTAAGATCCTCAAGTCCAACCATTAACCCAGCACTGCCAAGTGCACCACTAACCCATGCCCCTCAGCACCACATCTACAGATCTTTTAAATCCCTCCAGGGACAGGTACTCCACCACTGCCCTGGGCAGCCTGGGCCAGGCCTTGACAACCCTTTTGGGGAAGAATTTTTTCCTAATATCCAATTTAAACCTCCCCTGATCAACTTGAGGCTGTTTCTTCTTGTGCTGTTGCTTCATTATATGGGAGAAGAGACCGACCCTCACCTCCCTACAACCTCCTTTCAGGGAGTTGTAGAGAGTGAGCCCGGCCACACCCCTTTGTAGAGCCTCCCTGTCTTAAAGAAGATCAACACACCCACCCAACCTGGTGTCATCTGCAAACTTACTGGGCGTGCCCTCAATGCCTTCATCCAGATAATTGATAGATATTAAAGAGAACAGAGCCAAATACTGAGCCCTGGGGAACACCACTTGTGACTGGCCACCAGCTGGAGTTAACTCCATTCATCACCACTCTCTGGGCCTGACCATCCAGCCAGGTTTTAACCCACAAAAGATTACCCCACCCAAGCCATGAGCAGCCAGTTTCTTTAGGAGGATGCTGTGGGAAAGCGTGTCAAAGGCTCTACTGAAGTCCAGGTAGACAACATCCCCAGACTTTCCCTCATCTAAGTGGGTCACCTTCTCATAGAAGGAGATCCCATTAGTCAAGCAGGACCTGCCTTTCATAAACTCATGCCAATTGGGATTGAACCCTTGGTTGTCCTGGATGCATCTCATGGTGGCACTCAAGATGATCTGCTCCATAACCTTCCCCAGCACCGAGGTCAGATGGACAGGCCTGTAGTTCCTTCTCCCAGCCCTGCTTCTAGATGGGTGTCACATTTGCTAACCTCCAGTCAACTGGGACCTCCCTGGTTAGCCAGGACTGCTGATAAATGATGGAAAGTGGCTTGGTGAGCACCTCTACCAGCTTCTTCAGTACTCTTGGGTGGATCCCATCTGGCCCCATAGGCCTGTGTGTGTCTAAGTGGTGTGGTAGGTCACTGACCATTTCCCCTTGGACTATGGGGGCTTCATTCTGCTCCCCATCCTTGCCACCCAGCTCAGCAGGCTGGGCACTCAGAGGACAGCTGCTCTTACTATTAAAGACGGAGGCAAAGGTGGCACTTAGTGTCTCAGCCTTTTCCTCATCCTTGGTCACTGTTTCCCCCCACATCCAATAGAAGATGGGGATTCTTAGGCCTCCTTTTGCTCCTTTTGCTGTTAATATATTTACAGAAACATTTTTTATTGCCTTTTATGGCAGTGGACAGATTAAGTTCTAGTTGGGCTTTAGCCTTTCTTAATTTTCTCCCTGCATAGCCTCAGGAATCTTTGCAGTCCCCCTGAGGTGCTGCCCCTTCTTCCCCAGGCCATAGACTTCCCTTCTCCTCCAGAGCTCCAGCCCAAGGTCCTTGTTCAGCCAGGCCAGTCTTCTCCCCCACCAGCTTGTCTGGCACACCAGGGTGACCTGCTCCTGAGCCTTAAAGATTTCCTTCCTGAGAAGTGTCCAGCCTTCCTGGACTTCTTTTTCCTTCAGGACTGCCTCCCAAGGGACTCTGCCAGCCGTGTTGCCTGGTAGAACATGTTTGATTGACTTAGGAAATGTTTGGACAGTTTAATTTACTTTATGAACATCTCAGCTCTTTCACTAAGAGTGTTTTCCTTTTGAGTCATAGTCTATTTAATAAAGCCCTCTTCTAATATCTGTTTTTATTAAAAAGAGTAATTATATGCTGCATTCTAATTGCTAACTCATGTTTGTAAAGAGTTTGAGAACAGTTAATTTAGGGAACGTGAAGCTGGGTAGCAGTAAATTTAAGGCCTCTGCAGAGTAATCAAGGGGCTGATATTAAATCTGTATTTGCAATCCACTTCTTGCCAAAGTAACAGTGCTTCTGAGGGGGGAAATGGCTTGTCTAATATCAAGCAGGATTAACAATAGTCTTGTAATCTTGGTCCCCAGTGCTCCTGATAGGCTCCGAGTGAGAGCTGCTGTCTGCTGGGAAGTGAGGGGATGGACATTTGCATTGTTACTGATCCATGCAAATGAGCATCCTGCTTCTTCTGAAGTGTGAAGAGAAAAAATCAGGTCACTTAAGTGCCAGAAGACACCAAGACAGGTGTTTGAGTGGTCTTTGAACAGGAAACCTCATTTGAGATTTGAGGAAAAAGGTCTGAAACCTGAATCCTTGTGCTGATGAGATTATGAATAGTGTGCAACACAGCATAGATCTGTGTACTGCTCTGAATGTCTGTACCTTAGAGAAGCATGTGAGGCAGAGCAGAGCTAAGTGGATAGGTTACATTTTGAGAAGTTAAAGTTCTTCTAATGGTGCATAGATGCCATTTCAAAGGAAGCTGTCGTCCTTTCTTCATGTTATTAAAAGCTGCTTCTCAACATTGTTGTCTTTTTATTCACTTTCATGTTTCCCAGCAACTGAAATTCAGTTTTGGGGTATGGTGTTTGAATGTTTCAGGTCTGACTGATCTGTGCTGTTCGTAGTTGGAGCTCAAGAATGAGATATTCATTTAGTTCATGGGCTGCATAGTTTCAATAGGCAGCTTTGTAGTTGTGCTCTCTCTGAGCCTTACAATGTTGTCTAAATTCATACAAGTTGGGTTTTTGACACAGTTTGGTTTTGCTTACCCTTAAGTGATCACTAATTGTGATTAAACCAGAAATTTTCTACTTTTAGCAGTTTTCTGGAAGCTATTTTCTCACTCCCACCTGGGTGCTTGGCTCTTCTTAACTCCCATGGCTTTTCCATAGTCTTGGAAGAAGCCTGACTGCTCACCTGATGCCT